GCTGCTCCATGAGCCAGGTTGGTTGTTCCTTGGATTCCCATCTCCTGCCTGACAGGGATCCTAACTGGCAATGGCAATGACTCGTGCCAGTGATGAGTCCTGAGCGCTGCTTGAGACGTGGGCAGTGCAGGACCTCATCCCCTGACCCTCCTGTGTTCCCTGGCAGAACTTTGACATGTTCATCAGCCACTACAGCAGTGTGAGCACTCCTCCCTGTGTGCACATCTACAAGCTCAGCGGCTCTGACGACGACCCACTCCACAAGCAGCCCAAGTTTTGGGCCAGCATGATGGAGGCAGCCAGTAAGTCCTGGAGAATGGGCCAGTGGGGCCTCCCAGCAGCAGCCAAGAGTGATGGGGAGGGCAGGGGTCTGAGTACCTTCACTCTGAGGGAAGGTGAATCATGTTATCTTGTGGGAGAGATATTTCTCACTTGCCCAGGAAATGTTCTGTGGGTTTTGATGTGTTTCACACATGGAGCAAAAGTCCTGCTCCAGGGAGTACAGAGTTGACACACACACAAGGATGTGGTTTTACTGTGGAATCACTCAATGGTTTAGGTGAGAATGGGCATTAAAGTCCATCCTGTCTCATGCCCTGCCAGGGACAGGGACATCTTCCACTAGTCCAGGTTGCTCCAAGCCCTGTTCAATCTGGCCTTGAGCACTTCAAGGTGCTTTTTTATTTGTGATTTGTCTGAAGAGGGAAGGGACAAGTACCTGGGATACAGTGGCTGCTCCATTCTGCACTGCAGGTTTTAAAGGTTTAGGTACAGCTCACAGCAGCACCTGAACCCCTACTGCAAACACTTTGTCCCACCCTGTTGTTACCTTCTCCCACCCTGCTGTTGTGGTGCTGTGCCCCAGGGAGGGGCTCTGCTAAGCCTTGGCATGGTTTGGTGTAAAAGGAGCCCTGCTCAGGGTCAGCTTTGGACAGGGCTGGTTCAGGGGGTGGGAGCAGAGGCTGCTCAGCCCCTCAGCACTGTGTGTGACCCTCCTGCTGCAGGCTGTCCCCCAGACTACATCCTCCCAGAGATTCAGGGGGTTCAGGGGGTGGGAGCAGAGGCTGCTCAGCCCCTCAGCACTGTGTGTGACCCTCCTGCTGCAGGCTGTCCCCCAGACTACGTCCCCCCGGAGATCTTCCACTTCCGCACGCAGTCGGACGTGGAGCTCTATGGAATGGTCTACAAACCCCACGACGTGCAGCCTGGCAAGAAGCATCCCACGGTGCTCTTTGTGTATGGAGGCCCTCAGGTAAGAACCCAGGGGAATGCTGGGCTCAGGGCTGGGGCTGCTCTGTCATTCATGCATCAAGACTTTGGGTAGCAGAGAACACTGCCATGGAATCATGGAATGGTTTGGGTTACCTTAAAGCCCATCCAGTGCCACCTCTGCCATGGGCAGGGCCACCTTCCACTATCCTGGGTTGTTCAGAGATCCAGCCTGGCCTTGAACACATCCAGGGATGGGGCAGCCACAGCTTCTCTGGGAACCCTATGCCTGGGCTTCACCACCATTGCAACAAAAAACTTCCTCATAATATCCCATCTAAACCTCCTCCTTTTGTCCCTGTGTTTGACCTCTGCTTCAAACCTCAGAAGACTTTTCCAGCATGTGGTTTGATTTCTATGGCTCTGATAGCTCAGTGAGTGTCCAGCTCAGGACCCTCCACTGGCACAGGAAGGCACTGGAAGGCACCTCCTCAGCTCTGGAACTCTTCCTCCCTCCTTGTGCAGGTGCAGCTGGTGAACAACTCCTTCAAAGGCATCAAGTACCTGCGGCTGAACACGTTGGCATCCCTGGGCTATGCTGTGGTGGTGATTGATGGAAGGGGATCATGCCAGCGAGGCCTCAAATTTGAAGGGGCCCTGAAAAACCAAATGGTAACATCCTGCTTGTGCTGGGGAATCTCTGATCATTTGTCCTTCCTAAGGGTGGTGGCTGGTCATTTCCTGTGAGAGTGTTTGTGCCTCAAGTTTCTAAATTTATCAAGTCCACTAACATGAGTCTCCTTTTTGCCTTTAGGGTCAGGTGGAGATAGAGGACCAGGTGGAAGGTTTACATTATGTAGCAGAAAAATACGGGTTCATCGACTTGAGCCGGGTTGCCATCCACGGCTGGTCCTATGGGGGCTTTCTGTCCCTCATGGGGCTCATCTGTAAACCCAACGTCTTCAAGGTGAGCCTGCACGTGGGGCTGGCACCTTTGGGGCACTTGGCTCTTGCAGCTTCTGTCCTTCTTGGCAGCTGGAATTGGCCTTTTGGTTTATTTGGTGTGGAAATGCCCCACTGTCCTGCCTGCCTGGAGCTCCCAGCTCCAGTCCTGTGTCCTGCTGCAGCTCATCCTTGGTGGGGCTGGAGGAGGATTGCTCTGGGGTGGGCTTGGTCTGCCATACAGGCAGATGCTGATGTGCTACTCCCCATCCCAAGTGCCCAGCACAGTTTCTGGATCATTCACAACTCCTCCTTGCACAGGGGAGGCCTTCAGTGCTGATGTGCAGGAATTTTTCCCACTGTGACCACAAGAGGAACAGCAGGAGCAGGAATCTGGGTTGTGCGTGGGATTGCTGAAGGAGAATCCTGATCTGAGTGACAGCACAGCCCAGAGCCTTTCTGCTGCCTCTCCAGGAAGGCAGGGAACACTGAGGCTGTTGAGCGGGCAGTAATGGAGGCTGTGTGGTGGCACCTCTCTGTTTGACAGATTGCTATAGCAGGTGCCCCTGTCACCGTGTGGATGGCCTACGACACCGGCTACACCGAGCGCTACATGGACGTCCCCGAGAACAACCAGCAGGGCTACGAGGCTGGCTCGGTGGCACTGCACGTGGAAAAGCTTCCCAACGAGTGAGTACCTGCCCCAGACCTGCTCCTGCACCCCTGCTCAATCCCACAGGAATGGAAGGGTTCTGCACAGCACCCCCAGCCCCCTGCCAGGGAGGGCCTGAGGCCCGTGGCCATGGCCTGGCACTGCTCTTGCTTGGGTTTGGTTTGTCCAGCTGAAAGCTCTTTGCTCAGACCCTCTGCAGAGCTTTTATCTGGTGCCTCATTGTGTTTTCCATCTGGTTTCTCATCCTGTTTCTCTCCTTATCTCTCACCCCATGTCCAGGCCAAATCGTTTGCTGATCCTCCATGGCTTTTTGGATGAAAATGTGCACTTTTTTCACACCAACTTCCTGGTATCGCAGCTAATCCGGGCTGGAAAACCTTACCAGCTGCAGGTAGGAGGGACGGGAGTGGGGAGGGAAGGTCCCTGCTGTGTATTCTGGGGATGGGAGGGAGGCAGATCCCCCACATCCTGCTGTGATGCTGGGGCTGGTGAACGCCTCGCTGGGCTGAGGAGGCCGGGAGGTGGCACTGTGGCTGTTCCACGGCTGGCAGATGTGGCATGTGCAGGCAGGGCTGCTGCCCCGGGGCCTGGAACTTTCCTCCTCCACCAGCTGTTCTGTCCCACTTGGCAGGGCTGCTCCAGACCTTCCCTGGCACTTTTTTGTCCTGCTGGAGACTGGGTGGAGGGAGCAGGGCTGAGGGGAGGGAGTTCTGTGCCTGCTGAGTGACCGATGCCCCGTGTCTGCCCTGGCACAGATCTACCCCAACGAGAGACACAGTATTCGGTGCCCTGAGTCAGGAGAGCACTACGAAATCACGCTGCTGCACTTTCTACAAGAATACCTCTGAGAGCACGAGCCTCTGCAAACTGGACACTGACAGCTCACCTGCCCCGTGCCCTCCCGCTCCCCGGCAGCGTCCAACCCAGAGCACAAGGGGCTGAGTGCCCACGTCGGGCTGGGGATACTCCCAGGCCAGGGGGAAAAGCTGGAGGGCACCTTCCCTTTGGACAGTGCCACCTTCTCTCACTTTCCAAGCTGGAGGTCTGCCCCTGCTCGGCTGCTCGTCCTCCTCCTCTCCTCCAGCCTGGCTGTTCAATGCTTTTTTTGCTGCTACTCCCTCTCTCCTGGGAATCAATGGACAGTGGTCTGTGTCCCGAGGCTGAGGTTTGTGTCCATCTCTCTCTCCCCAATCCTTTTCCTCTTCCACTGCACCTGTGCAGTTCCCAAACTCTTCCCTGCAAGAGCTCAGTGCCTGTGTTGGAAACAGAAGAGCCGAATCAGAAGCTGCCTTAAGCCAGGAGTGTGAGGGAAGAGAACTACCTACTGCTCACCTGGGGATCTGCTCTGTGTCCTGGCCCTGCTGCCACACTGGAGCCCTGCGAGCTGAAGAGAGGTCTACAGAAGCATGCAACACTAGTATTTTTTTTTATATATATATCTATTTTCAAGTTTAAATTTGCAGAGCAGATGGAGGAAGTGGCTGGGGCTGGTTAACAGCACCCTCTGATCCTTCCTCTCATGGCCGCTCTCCCAGAGTTGTGCCAACAGGTAGCACTGGCAGCTGGCTACAGCCAGAGCCTCTCTCCAGAGCTCACAGCAGCATTTGGGTTTTTGCAACACAAGATGGATGATATTTATGCAAATCCTCCCTCCCTCCGTTCTCTGTGCCGCCTCCCGACCCCCCTGTCCTTCCCTGAGCTTTCCAATGTGCACTGAAATTGGCTGTGCTTCAGTTCTCTGCGGGTCAGTGACTGGTCCCCCTGCCCGTCTACTCAGCAATGCTCTCTCCTGGTTTTTATTTACCTGGGCAACAGGAACTGCAGTTCTGGGGAGGGGGATTGAGCAATCACACCTCAGGGGAGCACATCCCCCCCTCAAGCCAAGGGTTCTGCCAGGGGCAAAACGAAAACACAAACAAAACCCACCCAAATGAACCACGTTGACTTGCCCTGGAGTATTTTAAGTGCGTATTATGAAAAGAAAATATTTTTATGGATTCTTATTCTTTTATAATTATGAGTGTAAGATGTAGCGACTCATTAAAATATTGGAAAGAGACGTGGTGGCTGCTTTGGGGGGCAGGAGGAAGCAGCAGCTGCTGCCACAGCCAGAGCAGCTCTGCTGAAAGCCAAGTGCTCTGTTCTTTCTGTGCCGAGCAGTGGAGAGAATATTAAATCCCTGATGTTCCTCGGGGGAAGCACGATCCAAGCAGTTGAGGGTTGGGAATCCTGGACTGTGTGACCTTGAGCGAGTCAGCACAGCCTGGGGTGGGCACCTCCCTCCCTCTCCCCTTCCCTCCTTCCTTCCCTCCACTGGGACTGGGGGTGCAGCTGCTCTGCTCCCACTCTGGGACACACAGAGCTGCTTGTGCAGAGCTGGGCTTTCTCTGCTCGCCCTCCCAGCTCAAAGCTCCCAAACCTGGCCTTGCTTTGCCTTCCTCCGCGGGAGCTGGTGTTAATTAACCCGCTGTTAATGCCCCGAGGCTGCTGCTGGAGGCTTGTTCTAAATGCAGAGCTTCTTCCAGATGGAGCATTTGGGTTCTTGGGGATGGCTGGGAGCAGATTTTTCCCCCCCCTTTTCTTGACCCTGTGCCCAAATAATTGTCCCAATATTGCAGTTGTGGTTTAGGTGCTACAAAACACCTCAGGTGTGAGTTTTGACGTCAGAGGGAGCGGAAGGAGGGACTGGGGTGGAGGAAGTTGCACCTCTGAGATGTGTCTATAAGAGCACCCTGCAGCCAGCAAAGCTTCACCCTCTGTTCCTCACAGCTGGGTGGGTGCTGCTGCATGGTAAGAAGCTTTATTTTTTCAGAGTTTGTTTCTGTCCTTCCCTAATTTAATTTTTGGGCTTAATTTAAACTGACTTTTCCTGTCCCCAAAAAGCTGAGTGTTTCTTAAAATGTCTTAAGACGCTCTTGTCGAGAAGAGTTTGCAGATCGGTTGGCTCCTCTGATCCCCCAGCTTGCTGCAGGATTTTTTGGCACCCTAGAAAGGGGTTGGTCATCTTTTGGGGATTGAGAATCCGAGAGGAATTAGCTGGGAAATCTCCCGGAGCTGTCGGGGATTCAAACACAAATGATGTGGGAGGTCCCGCGGGAAGGGTGATGGGAGCAGGGTGGCTCTGGGTGGAGGATTTGCAGCTGGAGGATGAGGCTGAGTTAATTTCCTGAGTGGTAATGACAGAGGAATCAGCAGGTGCTGGGGAAACCAGGCAAAAACCACTCTTCCTCAAGAATTTGGGACTTGAGAGTGGCTTGGGAGGCATTTCTCTCCCAAAACCCACCCTGTGGGGCTTTATTTTTAGGTGGATGGTGTGGAGGGAGAACAGATGTTCTTGAGGACTTATTTTTAAAACAAAATCACTCCTCAAGCTACAAAATTAGCTCAGAAAAGTCACTCCTTGCCCCGAAAGATGCTCGAATGGAAAACTTCCTGGCATCTCCATTCCCCAAGTGGGTGGGATAAAGGTGCAGCCACAGCCCTGGCTCTGGGAAAGCCACATCAGTGGAAACTCTGGGTGCTTGGGGGTCTCAGGCACTTGATCCCTGTCCTGGGCCGTGCACCCCCAGAACAACTGGAGCAGCTCAGAAATCCCAGGGTCCCCCAGAGGAGGAGTGGGGTGTCCAAGGGCTGGGCTGGGCTGCGGGTGTGTCTGTGCTGGCCAAACCAAAGGCTGTAAATTGATCTTGGAGAATCCTCTCGGGGGGATTTTGGTGAAATCACAGGCACGCCAGCTCCGTGCTGGGATGCAGGGAAGGCTCCAGGCATGGCCTCTGCAGAGAAACCTCCTGGCCCTGATCCCCCTCCTGCTCCTCTCGGAGCTGGCACAGATTTCTGTGCCTCCCCCTCTGCTCTACTTCAGGATTTTCCTGCTCCCAGCCCCTGGCTGCAGCTGGGGGGCTCAGCCTGGGGTCCCCTGACCCCCTCTCACTGTCCCCAGCCCCGTGCCATGGCCCTGACCCTGGGGATGCTGCTGGCCCTGCTGGGCTGTGCCGCGGCACCGGATCCTGCCCTGGAGGAGGCCTGGCAAGGGTGGAAGAGTCTCTATGCCAAGGAATACCCAGGGGTAGGTCCTGCTCCCCCCACAGCCCTCCCGGCACGGCTGGGTCCTGCCCAGGGGTGCCCCCTTGATCCAGGGGCTGTTGCTGATCCTCGGATGCTCTGGCAGGAGGCGGAGGCGCTCCGCAGGGAGATCTGGGAGCAGAACCTGCGCCACATCCAGCAGCACAACCGGGAGGAGTCGCAGGGCAAGCACAGCTACCGCCTGGCCATGAACCACTTCGGGGACCTGGTACCTGCTGCCACCCTCCCTGGGCAGCCCTGAGAGCGCCCCGATGCCGGGGATCAGGGAGGGGATGCTCGCAGGGTTTGATCCGGGCGGTGCCAGCCCCCAGCTCGCTCCCGGGGGAGGCTGGGGGCAGCCTTGGCATCACACGAGTTTTCTTCCCTTGGTGACCTGCAGACGAACCAGGAGTTCAATGAACTCATGAACGGCTACGTGCCGGTGCAGAGGGAGAGGGAGGAGCCGGCACGGCCCTTCCCAGCCTCGGCAGCCCTGGAAGCCCCCATGAAGGTGGACTGGAGGGCCAAGGGCTACGTGACACCCGTGAAATCCCAGGTGGGAGCCCAGCCAGGGCTGTGGCATCTGAGCAGCAGCTCTGCGCTGCTCCAGAGTCCTGGCCCCTCACTTTGCAGCTGAGAGCAGCACCAGGGGGTCAGAGCACCTCTCTGGTGGGCTCGGGGGCGATGCCATGACCCCACCGTGCTGTCCCCACCTCCCCCAGGGCGACTGCGGCTCCTGCTGGGCCTTCAGCGCCACGGGGGCCCTGGAGGGGCTCACGTTCAGGCGGACGGGGAAGCTGGTGCCTCTGAGCGAGCAGAACCTCATCGACTGCACGCAGCGGCTGGGCAACCACGGCTGCAGAGGGGGCCACATGGCGCGGGCCTTCCGCTACGTGCGCGACAACGGCGGGCTCAGCTCCGAGCGCGCCTACCCCTACACGGGCACGGTGAGGGACGGCAGGCGAGCCCGGCATGGGGCACGGCCGGCTGCTGGCACTGCCCCGGTGACGCTCTCCCTCCCTCAGGACAACAACGGCTGCCGGTACAGCTCCCGGTACAGGGCTGCCACCTGCTCCGGCTTCAGGACGGTGCCCCCGGGCAGCGAGGCGGCCCTGAGGCAGGCGGTGGCAGCCGTGGGCCCCGTGTCGGTGGTGGTGGATGCCAGCAGCCACAATTTCCAGTTCTACGGCTCAGGTAGTGCCTCCTCTTCGAGGGTAAACTGAGGCAGGGCCAGCTCTCTGCAAGCCTGGGCTGCTGAGCCCTTGTGGAGCCCCTTGCCCAGGGCTCCACGGACACGGTACCACCACCCAAAAATGGGCCCAGGGCTGGCCCCGGCTCACCCCAGCCCTGCTCCCCCAGGCATCTTCACCTGCCCACCTGGCCAGCAGCAGCTGAACCACGCCATGCTGCTGGTGGGCTACGACACGGCCCAGGTGCGCAACTGCAGCGTGAGCTACTGGATCCTAAAGAACAGGTGAGGGCTGGGGTGCCCCCAAACCTGCTGCCCCCCAGCTCCCCGCGCTGGGGGATGCGCTGAGGGATGTCTGCTCCTGTCTGTGCCCGCAGCTGGTCCCAGGGCTGGGGTGAGAAGGGCTACATGCTCCTGCTGAAGGACGGTGGCAACCAGTGTGGGGTGGCCAGCGATGCCAGCTACCCGCTGGCCTGAGCCGGGACAGCCCCTCCTGAGCCTTCCCTGATCCAGGACAGCTCTCCCTCCCTGCCCCTTCCCTGAGCCCTCCCTGATCCAGGACAGCCCTCCCTGATCCAGGACAGCCCTCCCTGATCCGGGACAGCTCTCCCTCCCTGCCTCCCGCCCTGCCTGCCGACCCGCAGCTGTGTCCACCTGGAAAGGGGCTTTAGTTCCTGTGCAGCAAGAAGCCATTAAAAGTGCTTTGGTTAACCGGCTGACGCGCCCAGTCCTTGCGAGGCAATCCCGGCACCACAGACGCCTTGGGCTGGATGGCAATGGAAGCCCATCCCGGTCCCAGACACCTTCCAGGCTGCTCCAGGCCCCCTCTCACCACGCTCAGCGTTCCCCAGCCCTCCCCTCCCAGCTCGGCCATCCTGCTGGCCTTTGTCCCCGAGGTCCCCGCAGCCCCTTGTCCCCATGGACGCTTGTCCCCATAGCACCTTAGCCTCAGGGTGCCTTGGTCCCCTGACCACAGGGCTCCTGTCCCGTGACCCCCTTATCCCCGTGTCCTGCCGTCCCTTGTCCTTGTTGTCCCCCTGTCCCCCCGCCCGGGCTCTGCCCACATCCAACATGGCCGCCGCGCGGCCGCCGCGCTGACCCCTGCCGGCCGCCATAGCCCGCGCTTCCTCTCCAAGATGGCGGCGCCCAGCGGGAGGAGCGGCCGGCGCTCGTGGGCCGCGCTGGTGCCCGCGGCTCTGCTGTGCCTGGCGGCCCGCGCGGCCGCGGAACCGGGCACGGCTCCCGGCGCGGCCCCGAGCACGGCCGAGTTCGACGTGCGGCCCGGCGGGGAGGTTCACTCCTTCTCCCGGAGCCTGGTGAGCGGCCCGGAGGGAGGGAGCGGGAGCGGAGAGGGTACGCGCCCTCCGCTGATTGGCTGCGCGGCACGTCACTCATACCGCTCGCTGTGGGGATTGGCTGGACGCGAGGGGGGGCGGGGCGAGCGGGTGGGGGGGATCCCCAGGGAGAGAGGGGTCCCCAAAGGGGGCTGCAAGGGCAGGGGATCCCAGGGAGTGCGGGGGTCTGCAAGAGAAAGGGGGGTCCTAAAGGGGGCTACAAGGACAGGGGACCCCAGGGAATATGGGGGTCTGCAAGGGAAAAGGGGGGCTCTAAAAGTAGGGGGACCCCAGGGAATGTGGGGGTCTGTAAGGGAAAGGGGGTCCCAAAGGGGGCTGCAAGGGCAGGGGACCCCAGGAAGAACGGGGGTCTGCAAGGGAAAGGGGGTCCCAAAGGGGGGCTCTAAAAGCAGGTTCTCCAGCAGAAGGGGGTCCCCAAGGTGGGACAGTTTCTGCAGCGAGGAGACCCCAGGGATGGGGACCTGCCGGGGATAACGGCCCCCAGGGGAAGGGGGGTACCCCAAGGGCAGGGAGGGGGTCTCAGAGAAAGAAGGGTCCTCATGGAGGGGGCTCAGCAAGGGAAGGGCCCCAGTGCAGAAGGGGCTGGGGGTCCCTGGGCACCCCAGAACACGAGTGCTCCCCCAGCACTGCGGGCAGGAGGAAACGTGGTGCCAGGGGAGGTTTGGGCTGGATGTTGGGGGACATTCTTCACGGAAAGGCAGCCCTGGCACTGGCACGGTGGCACTGGCAGAGTCCCCATCCCTGGAGGGATTTGTGGCACTTGGGGACAGCGTGGCCTTGGCAGTGCTGGGCTTGGTCTGGGGGGGCTTTTCCGAGCTCAGCCGTCCCTGGGGGCTGCAGTAAAGCGAGGCTGCTGCTCTTGCTCTCTCTGCAGGGGGATTACGGCTGCACCTTCACCTACTCGGCCCAGGGCGGCACCAACGAGGTGAGCTGGGGCTGCTGCTGCAGCCGGCTCCTCCTCCTCCTCCTCCTCCTGAAGGGGAGAGACACGGCGAGCTGCTCGTGTGAGAGCACAGCCCTGGCTGCAGGGAGCAGAAGGGGCTGCCAGCGAGTGCTGGGGTGCTGCTGGGGGTGCTGCTGGGTGCTTTGGGAGCTCCTATTCCTGTTGGGTGGTTTGGGAGCTGCTGCTTCTCTGGGGTGCTTTGGGATATCCTGTTCCTCTGGGGTATTTTGGGAGCTGCTCCTCTCGGGTGATTTTGGAGCCCCTGCTCCTTTGGGGTGGTTTGGGAGCTCCTCCTAGATGGTTTGGGAGCTGCTGCTCTTGTTGGGTAATTTGGGAGCTCCTGCTCCTCCTGGATGGTTTGGCAGCTCCTCCTGGGTGGTTTGGGAGCTCCTGCTTCTCTGGGGTGGTTTGGGAGCTCCTGCTCCTCTGGGATGATTTTGGAGCCCCTGCTCCTCCTGGGTGATTTTGGAGCGCCTGCTCCTCTGGAGTGGTTTGGGAGCTCCTCCTGGGTGGGTTGGGAGCTCCTGCTCCTCTCGGGTGATTTTGGAGCCCCTGCTCCTCTGGAGTGGTTTGGGAGCTCCTCCTGGGTGGTTTAGGAGGTCCTGCTCCTCCTGGGTGATTTGGGAGCTCCTCCTGGGTGCTTTGGGAGCTCCTAGTTCTCTGGGGTGCTTTGGGAGCTCCTCCTGTAGATTTTGGAGCCCCTGCTCCTCTGGAGTGGTTTGGGAGCTCCTCCTGGGTGGTTTAGGAGGTCCTGCTCCTCCTGGGTGATTTGGGAGATCCTCCTGGGTGCTTTGGGAGCTCCCCTGGGTGGTTTAGGAGGTCCTGCTCCTCCTGGGTGCTTTGGGAGCTCCTGCTCCTCTGGGATGATTTTGGAGCCCCTGCTCCTTCTGGGTTCTTTGGGAGCTCCTGCTCCTCTCAGGTGATTTTGGAGCCCCTGCTCCTCCTGGGTGCTTTGGGAGCTCCTGCTCCTCTGGGATGATTTTGGAGCCCCTGCTCCTCCTGGGTGCTTTGGGAGCTCCTCTGGGTGGTGTGGGAGGGGGTATTTTGGGAGCTCCTGCTCCTCCTGGGTGCTTTGGGAGCTCCTGCTCCTCTCGGGTGATTTTGGAGCCCCTGCTCCTTTGGGGTGGTTTGGGAGCTCCTCCTAGATGGTTTGGGAGCTGCTGCTCTTGTTGGGTAATTTGGGAGCTCCTGCTCCTCCTGGATGGTTTGGCAGCTCCTCCTGGGTGGTTTGGGAGCTCCTGCTTCTCTGGGGTGGTTTGGGAGCTCCTGCTCCTCTGGGATGATTTTGGAGCCCCTGCTCCTCCTGGGTGATTTGGGAGCTCCTCCTGGGTGCTTTGGGAGCTCCTAGTTCTCTGGGGTGCTTTGGGAGCTCCTCCTGTATGGTTTGGGAGCTCCTGCTCCTCTGGGATGATTTTGGAGCCCCTGCTCCTTCTGGGTTCTTTGGGAGCTCCTGCTCCTCTCAGGTGATTTTGGAGCCCCTGCTCCTCCTGGGTGCTTTGGGAGCTCCTGCTCCTCTGGGATGATTTTGGAGCCCCTGCTCCTCCTGGGTGCTTTGGGAGCTCCTCTGGGTGGTGTGGGAGCTGCTGCTGCAGCTGGAGGGGGTTGGCCTGGCAGGGCTCCCCCCTGACCCCCATCTCCCCGTGCAGCAGTGGCAGATGACGGTCGGAGTGAGCGAGGACAGCGGGCTCTTCTCCTGCTCCATCTGGAGGTGTGTCCTCAGCAGAGCCACCACGGGCTGCCTGTGGCCAGGGACAAGGACCCTGCACGGATTTACACCTGCTCAGGGGGGGCTCTCCTCCCCCAGGGATGCTGTTGGTTTATAAATTCTCTGTTCCCCTCTCCCCTGCTCTGCACAAAAGGTACAAGAGATCCAGAGGTGGCTCTGGGGGAGGGAGGGAGGGAGCCAGGAATCTTCACTCCTCTGCTCCTCCTCCTCTGCACCTCTGTGCCGGTGACAAAGGCTCTGCTTTCTTCTTCCAGGCCCCAAGGGAAGTCTTATCTCTTCTTTACCCAGTTTAAAGCTGAAGTGAAAGGAGCCAAGATAGAGCATGCCATGGCTTATGTAAGTCCCAGCTGATCCCGGGGAAGCAGAGTGTGGGAGGCTGCTATAAAACATGAATTAGACATGGAAAACATTTATTAGACATCTGTGCCATTAAATGTGCTCCATCACGTCCCTAATTAGAGAGTGGTGGCAGGCAGGAGAGGGGCTGCAGGTGGGCAGCCTGCTCCATTGTGTTCCTGCCCTATCACTCAGGGCTTTGCTGGGAGGGGGCTCCAAAGGGCACCAAGGGAGTCTTGGATTGCCTCAACAAATTGCATGTGACAAAGCAATGAAACCTCTGCTGGTGTTTTTTTGTCTGGCTCATTCTTCCATTTCCCACTTTCCAGGGGTGAGGCTTTCACTCACCCCAAGGACATAAGTCTGTGGTTTAATAGGAAATAAAAAAAACAGACAGAGATTTTCCTCCAGATTTCCTTTGTGCCCTTAATTCTTTCACTGCACGTAAGTCTCAAAGCCGTTCATTTTCAGCTGTTGGTTGGTTTGAATTCTGTGACCTGCTGGATTGCCTCAGCCTCTCACCCCTCCTTCCTTCCTTCCTGTCTCAGTCTCAGGCTGCTGCGGGTGCCCTGAGCGACATCCCCTTGAAGCAGGAGGAGTTTGGGGTCACTGAAACAGCAGGTGTGTGCCTGAGGGGGCTGCCAGAGAGGGGCTGGGCTGGGGGACAGGCCAGGCACCCTCAAATCCTGCTGACAGTGCCACAGAGCTGGGGTACAGTGCTCTCAGTCCCCCACTGGCAGCTGGGTTCTGGTCCTGTCCCAGTTAAATAAGGAGGGGTTCCCCCCAGCCTGGCATGGAAGAGCAGTGCCCAGCACCCTGGGAGAGCCCAGCAGGGCTGGTTTGTTCCTGCTTTTCCATCTGCTGATGCTGGGCTTCTCTCTCTCTCTCTCTCTGCAGTGTCTCACAGGGAAGGCAAGTTCCGTTTCGAGCTGTCCAAGCTCATGATTGTGGCAAAAACCCCCCGTGACGAGCTGTGAGCCCAGCCAGCCCTGCCAGGGGGCACGGCCACACCAGCACGAAGGCATTTCCTGCTTACCTGCAGGGTTTTTCTTTTGGTTGGACAAACCTTTTGTGTTTTCCGTGCTGAAATGTGCTGGGGACCGACACGAGTGGGGCTGGGAGGGCTGGGGACAGATCTGTTCTGCCTTGTGTCACAGTAACACCCTGATCCTCCTGTGGCCCTTGCTGCTTGGCTGAGCAGGGCAGAGCTCCCTGGAAAGGGGCTCCTTATCTGCCTGCCTGGGAGATAAGGGCTGCACTTAAGCAGGGCTTGCTGAAGGGGAGCTGTTAACTCTCTAGTCTCTGGAGGGGAGATGGGATTCCTCTCTCCACCAGCGTGACAGGAGGAAATAATTAATTTAGGGGGAGGGAGGGGATTGGCCAAAGCTCTGATTCCACGGTGAGTGTGGGGCTGGGCTGGGGGAAGGCAGAGCAGCTCATTCTGACATGATCAGGAGTCAACCCAGGCAGCACTTCCACGTGTCAGCACAACCACGGGACTATTTTATACCTACAGAAAAGCGATTCTTTTCTTATCCAGAGTAATAACAGGGAATGTGCAATTCCTTTCCTGTGTAAATACAGCACCAATAAAGAAATAAAGCATTGTGTTCTGGCCTGAAACTGCTCTGCTCTGCCCCTGCTCCCCTCTCCAGCTGTGTGGACCTTTGTCAGGAGGAGCTGAGGTGTCCCAGGGGAATTTGGGGGCTGCAGAGGGTTTAGGGGGGTCTTCCAGCTGACACCTTGGGAACAGCAAAGAATTTCTGGCTGGGCATTCCTCATCCCACCACACCTGCCTGGGATTCCCAGCTCTGGTTCCTGTCCAGCACCCTCCTGATGGACACAGGGGCCAGGAGTTGTTCTCAAAGGCCACTGGCCCCTGCTCTCCTGAGGAACCAGCACCTCTGGGCTCCTGCTGTTCTCCACCCCCTCGTGAATGGGCTGTGCCCCACCCAGGCTGTGTCACACAATTATCGGTGGCAGCTGCAGCCAGGCCTGTGAAATGGCAGAGACGGGGCCTTTGTGTCTTCGGTTTAATCTTCTGAGGCTGAGAATTATCAGTGCCAGGGGTGAGGAGGGGAGCCCCTGTCTGGAGACACCCAGGGAGCAGGAGGCACCAGAAGGTCACAGAGATAAGGCCAGTGGAGATTGTGTGGTGTCTTGGGTGCTAAAAGGGCAATTTCCAGTGCTCAGAGCCGAGCTCAGAGTGCTGGGAGTGAGCTGAGCATCCCCCCTGCTCTGGGCTGTGTCTGCCTGCAGAGCCACCCCTGCTCCCTGCTGCTCCAGGAACTGCACCAGGAGCTGCTCCAGGGGCTGCTCCAGGGGCTGCTCCCTGCTGCCAGGGCTCCCTGCTGCTCCAGGAACTGCACCAGGAGCTGCTCCCTGCTGCTCCAGGGGCTGCTCCCTGCTGCCAGGGCTCCCTGCTGCTCCAGGAACTGCTCCAGGAGCTGCTCCCTGCTGCCAGGGCTCTGCTTTTGGGCCCCTCCTGGGCCCTGAGGGGATGTGGGGGTGCAAAAGAGCACGTGTGGGTGTCTGCTCACTCACCAAACCATGGAGTGGTTGGGGTTTGGAGAGGCTTTCAAGCTCATCCAGTCCCACCCCTGCCATGGCAGGGACACCTCCCACTGTCCCAGGTTGCTCCCAGCCCTGTCCAGCCTGGCCCTGGGCACTGCCAGGCGTGGAGCACCCTGTGCCAGGCCCTCCCCACCCCACAGGGAGGAACTCCTTCCCCGTATCCCATCTGACCCTGCCCTCTGGGAGGGCATTCCCCTTTGTCCATGCAAACCCAGGAGCTGCTGGGCCACTGAGCAGGGACAGCACAACCAGCAGCAATGCCAGGGGACAGAGAGCACAAACCCCAGGTGACACAGAGCCACCACCACCTGGGGGCAAAGCCAGCTGTCCCCAGGGCTCATTCTGTCACTGTCACCACTGACACCTCACGGAGCTCCCAGGCCACACTGAGTTTATTTAAATAACTCATCAGGGCTACAGAGTTTGTTGAAAATGAACATCACTCAGTCAAGGGCATGGAAAAGGGATGAAATCCCAGGGGAGCTTTGGATGACCACCAAAGCTGCCAGGTGCCACCACCACTGGAGGCTGGTGGGCACTTGGGTGGTTCCAGGGACCCAGGGATGGAGCAGCTTCCCCCAGCTCCCTCCCAGCTGAGGAGGGATCCTCCTGGTCTCAGGGATTTGTCTTTGAGGACACCTAAGCCCAGGCAGAAGCACCTTCCTGCCTGAGGCAGCACAAGTCTGGACTGTGCTTTGCTCCCTCCGCGTTGTGGAGCTGCTGAAAGGAAACCACAGTGTCCCACAGCCCTCCAGTTATGGGGTCTCAGAACTGGTCCCCCAACACCGTCCCACCTGCTCAGAGACACCTCAGAGGTGCTTCACACCACGAGTCTTTGGTTCAGTTTCCCCACAGAGGGATGCAACAGAGTTCAAGGCACAGAGCCCAAATCCTTGGACTCTGAGCCAAAGGCACTTGGTGGGCAAGGAAATCAAACTGTACAGCAGGGGCCCAGAGTCCCAGGGTGCCCTGGAGAGGGTGCAGGGAGGGGATTGCAGACCCTGGGCGAGGGGGACACAACGTCAAGAAGTTCATTCTCTTGGAGAAACAAGAACAGAGGAGGAGGATGAGGAGGGGACGGCCAGCCCGGCGAAGGCCAAATCAGACATCCCATCCTCGGCCTCTGCCAGGAGCCCCGCTGCCAGGAGCCCCCTCAGATGCTGTCCTCCTCCAGCATCTTGTTGACGCCCTCGCAGATCCTCTGGAGGTGGGTGCGGTAGGGCTCGGCCGGGCCGTAGAGCGCCGACAGGAACTCGTAGTCCGCGAAGTGGTTGAAGACGTGGTTGATGCGCGAGTGGGACTTGGCCGTCAGGTGCCCGTTGACCGCCTGGTGCAGCAGGTCCCGGCACTCGGTCAGGACGCTGGACATGACCCTGCGGTCGAAGGTGAAGTCTATCTGGTGGAAGCTGACGGCCGTCATGGCCAAGGTGTGCACCTTCTTGCGGAAGCGCTCCATGAGCAGCAGCTCCTCGGCGCTGAACTGCCCGTTGCGGTAGAGAACGCCCAGCTTCATCACGATCTTGATGAGGTTCTTGATGATCTTCTGGGCCTCTTTGCGGTTGTGGGTGTACTCCTTGGTGGCCCGGTACAGCTCGTCCAGGATCTCGCTGCTGGTGTCGTCGATGAAGGCGTTGGCGATGGTCTTGGTGGCCATTTTGCTCAGGAGCTTCTTCTGGGCCTGCAGGGCCAAGTTCTTGGTGCTGAAGGTGTCCATCTCTGCGGGGGAAGAGGCACACACGGCTCAGTCCCTGCTCTGCGTCCATCCCCATCTCACCTGGGCTGGTGGAGTGTCCCAGTCCGCGGCAGGATGAGTTTAAGGTCCCTTCCCACCCAAACCATTCCGTGATTCTGTGATTCCTCACCTCCCCGCACAGATTTTTGGCAGGAGAAAGAGCATCTCCAGGCAATGGCCAGACTGAGGGAGCTCCTGGGTGCCAGGGCTGAGCTCACCCCCAGGTTTGGTCGGTGGGATCAGTTACAGTTCCCACCTTTTCCTTTTCCCAAACTCTGTGGAGAGGCTGCAGCAAGCGAGGCGTCCCTACCTGAGCTCCACCCGTGCCCCTCCATCCCCGTGTCCCTCCTGGCACTGTCACCTCCCTCCTCCTGGGGCAGGAAGAACTCTTGCCCCATCGTTTGAACATTTTTCCTTCCTTAAAACCTGACTCATTTCCTGCAGGGTGAGCTGGGGACAGCCCAGGTGGCAGCTGAGTCACCCCCCTGCCATGTGCCCCATCCATGGCGGTGCTGGCCAGGCTGGGGTGGCACAGCCGGTTTGCAGCACCCAGCAGTGGCACGGGAGCCCTTTTCCCGGGCTCTGCTCACCCTGGAACACCCACACAAGCTCGGACTTGTTGTGCTGCTGCCCCAGCCTCCTCCGGAGGCGGCAGTGCAGGAGGTGAATAATTCACCCAGACAGGAAGATCACCCAGAGCCCCACTCCCACGTCCCGGCGGGGCCAAATCCATCACCTCGGGCAGAGCACGGCTTTAAACTGCTGTGAACGATCAAAAACCCCGGAGATGCATCTCGGCCTGGGAAACCGCAGAGCTACAAATCACAGGGAGGGGAGAACAGCAGGAAAACAACCAGGATGGATGGGCAGAGCTGGGAGCTGCTTCTGCAAGAGCCTGCACACGGCATGGACAGCCTGGCAGAGCAGGAGGGGATGGGATCAGCCTAAAAATGCATCCCCAGGGAGGGGAGAGGAGAGAGCTCAGCTGAAGGATGCTGCTGGTGTGAGGATGGATGGGGATAAATTGCTCGTGGGTAGGGAGCAGGTTTAGATTTGATGATAAGAAGGAATTCTTCCCTGAGAGGGAGCTGAGGCCCTGGCACAGGGTGCCCAGAGCAGCTGTGGCTCTCCCTGGATCCCTGGAAGTGTCCAAGGCCAGGCTGGAGCAGCCTGGGGTGGTGGAAGGTGCTCCTGCCCATGGCAGGGGAGGGATTAGATGAGCTTTTGGTCTTTGTCCAACCCAAACCACTCCATGACTCCGGGATTCTGTCACAGAACCAAGTCTGTCCCCATCACAGGCAGCTCTGTCGTTCCCCCCTGGCCAAGCTGAAAGTCCCAGACCCCTCTGGGGATCCCCAGTGCTGCTCCTACCCCTCTGGAGCACACACCAGGCTCTGAGGAGCAAACCCCAGCTCCTCAGGGATCCCCACGCAGCACGATGGTGCTGAGCCCCTGAGCACCTCCCAGCCATCATCTCCCAACCCCGAGGGCAGCCAAGGCTCCGTGGGGATGGGAATTCCAGGAGCAGTGACAGAGACATCGCTGCAGGGTTATCTGCAGCCCTCAAGAAAAACACGGAGGTTTGGAAGCATTTCCTACGGCGGGGAAACATTGATTCTTGTCAGCCGGAGCCTCCAGCTGAGGCTCTCACACTTAATGAGACAAAAATGACAGCGCAGAGCCTGGTGACAGCAGCTCCTGGGTCAGGCTCGTGGAATTCCAGTGGCTGCATCCAGGAGGTGCTGCCCGAGCCTGGAGGGAGGGACGGGCAGGATGGGCAGAGGCAGCTCCAGCTCCTCTGTGAGGGAACTCACTTCATCCTGTCCGGAAGGAGCAGGGCTTTGCTGTGGTGCTGACAGCCTGGAATTTCCCTCCTCAGGCTCGTGGGGTGCCCTGGGAGCGGTGCCTGGATAAATAGGAATTCCCACACCCGAGCTCTGCCTTGGGTGACCACGGACACAAAGCGAGTGCAAACTCCACCTCCGGAGCGCATGAAAAATAGGAAGTGCCAAGTCCTGCGAGCTGCCCACGGCTCCCAAATGCCAGCTGGGATAATGGATCAACCCTCTGCTCCCTGCAGCAAATAACACCCGGCTGCTCACAGCCCTCCCCTGCTCCGGGACCGGGAGAATCGCTCCACGGGGAAACTGAGGCACAAAGCATTATTGGGGGGGTCTAGGGACCCCAAAAGTGGTATAGCTGGCTCCCAAATGCCAGCTGGGATAATGGATCAACCCTCTGCTCCCTGCAGCAAATAACACCCGGCTGCTCACAGCCCTCCCCTGCTCCGGGAGCATTGCTCCAGGGGGAAACTGAGGCACGAAGCATTATTGGGGGGGTCTAGAGACCCCAAAAGTGGTATAGACAGTTGTGAAGATCCCAAAAAAGCAAGCAGCTCCCTCTCCAGTGCCCAGGGATGGTTTCAGAGGCTGCATCCTGCAAAGCCCAAGGAAAGCCAGGCTCACCTCCTGCCGGCTCCCCCTGCACCCTCCGCACCAGGCTCGGCCCACCAGGACCTGCTGACTCAGCAGCAGCAGCAGGAGATTTGGAGATTTCAGCGGAACGAGCCGTTTTCCTGCCGGGAAGGGCCCCACGACCCCATTGTTCACCGGGGGCTGCTATCAGCGCACGGAAGAGTCGAGCCTTGCCCCGAGCAGCCAACTGCAGCCTGAAATAACCCACTTCACTTCCTTCCTGTCGCTGCAGTTTCCAGCCCGGCTCAGGGCCTGGGCTCCCCCCCCACCCCCTTCTTATTTTTGATGAAAACGCCCTAAAAAACAGCTTCTTCTTCTTGCGAAGTGGGGCTGCTGTCACCAAGTTCCTCCCTGCTCCGGAAGAGTGCGGCAGGGCTGTGGTCCCAACGGTGGCTTTGGGGACAGGTACAGCCCTTTCTTGGAGGGTTTCCACCCATTTTTGGAGGTTTTTGGGGGAATCTTGCAGCCCTGAGCGGTGGTGTGAGGTTGGGGTGTCCTGGCTGAGCACGGGAGGGTGGCCCTGTCACAGCACAGACGTGGTCGGACAGACACGTGCCGTGCCCATCTCCGGTTTGGCATCCACCCCACTGGGCTTGCACCTCACCCAGCACCCAGCTGTGACCTGGATTCCCAAAAAAACCTCTCCCACACCTCTGAGGGCACAAGCATCGATCATCAGCCATCGCCAGAAAGCTCCTGTCTGAGGGGGAAGACAAGACCCTGTCACCTGTGGTCACCTGGCGCTGGTGGCACCACAGCAGAGCTGCCAAGTGAGCGCCGTCCATGCCAGCAGTGATATCCTCCCAGTGATCATTTTTACGTGCTCCAAAGACCCCTCTCCCTGCCTGTCCCTTTCACCTGGCTCCCACCACCGCCTCCACGGCCTTGGCCCCCCAGTTCCCTTGGCAGCGGGTGAATATTTCATGCAGGAAAGGAAAATCAATTAATTCATGGAGCAGCGCAGAGGGGGAGGCTCCACAAAACTCCAGCTCAGAGTGGAGGCACCTCTGCCTCCTCTTCCTCCTCCTCTGCCTCCTCTTCCTCCTCCTCTTCCTCCTCCACCTTCCCACCGCGGCCGCAGTAACTTGGATTGTCTTGCTACAAGTTTCCTCCAACACAGAAACATCATTTCCCAGCAGGATAAACACTGAACAGCGGCGATCCCCCTGGATTTCCCGGGACAGACCCTGCTCTGCCCCCCAGCACCCCCAGTGCCCCCGAATCCCTGGCTCAGTGCCAGCTGGGTGGATGCCATCCCGCTGCTCTGCTCTCCATCCGCCGGATCGCTTTCCCTCTGCTCCAACCCTATTAATTAATTACACGCTCCTGGATTACAGGAGCCAGGTGGGAGCTCCGGGCAGTAACCTGAGAGCCCCAGCAGCGCCTGCAGCCCGCCCCCCACCCCCCGAGACCCCCGCAGCCCCCAGGCCCTCCCTACCAGCGCCGGGAGAGCCGAGGAAGAGGAGCGGGAGGAAGGCCCTCGCAGGTTGCCATGGGCGCAGAGAGCAGCCGGAGACGCTGCCCGGGCGCGTGTGTGCCCAGCGGGGCGAGGCCGGGAGGAGGGCACTGAGCAAACACCGAGCCCGGGGAAAAGCTGGGCAAGGCCGGGTGAATCCGCGGCCGCGGAATGCGGGGGGGGGGCACCGGGAACGCTGCGGGGCACCGGGAACGCTGCGGGGCACCGGGAACGCTGCGGGGCACCGGGAATGCCGCGGGGCACCGGGAACGCTGCGGGGCACCGCCGCACCCCGTGCTCCCCTTGCCCTGCTCGCTCCCGGTGCTGGTGGCAGCGCTCGGCGCGTCCCCGTCCCTGTCCCCTCCGCCCCTGGCACCGCCATCGGAGCTCCTCCGTCCCCAAATCTCCTTCCCGCAGGTGCCCCCGCTGGGGCTGCGGGTGCAGCCATGGGAAGGAGGCGGTTTTTGGTTTTGCCTGGGAATGCCGATCCGCCCCGGCAGCTCCGACGTGTCTGTGCAAGGAGCCGAGCCACAACCGAGGGGGCTCTGGCGGTGCCAAGCCCGGGCATGGGTGGGGAGCCCTGGCAGCGCTTCCCGTGGGAATGGGACCCTGGATCCGCGTGGAGGGGGGGGCTCAGGGCTGCGAGCCCCACGCGGGGCAGGGGGCGATCCTGGGGGCTGAGCTGAGGAGCTGCTGCGGCATCAAGGAATTCCTCCTGGGATTATTGTGCCCCGCGGGGGAGGCAGCTGCCAAACTGGAGAGGAGGAGGAGGAGAAGGAGCAGGAGGAGGAGGAATGGAGGTTATTTTAAGGAGAGAAGGAGGAGGAAGAGGAGGAAGGGGGGTTACTTTATGGAGGGGAGGAGGAAGAGGAGGAAGAAAGGGGGGTTTTATGGAGAAAAGGCAGAGGAAGAGGAGGAGGAAGGGGGTTATTTTACAGAGAGGAGGACGGGGGGTTGTTTTGGAGCATCTGTCTCGCCTTCCATTTCCTCCTTTTCTTTCTCCAGCTGCCATCAAGCTGCTCTCTCTGGCAGCAACTTCCTTTCTCCCTCACTCGGAGCAGACGGAGACTCATGGGGAAGTAGAAAACAGAGGCTGGGAGGGGGAAACTGAGGCCAAACCACCATCCGTCCGTCTGTCCGGCTGCGGAGGGGGCCAGGGCACATCACATGCTTCCTGCCCCGGGACCAGCAGGACAAAGTCGCTCTGGCAGGGAGGAAAACTCCACGGGACAATTGGGATCCAGTGCTGGGCCTGGGGTCGGTGGAGAACGGCCCAAATCCCCCCGTGCCCCAGGGAAGATCAGTCAGGGCCGGGAGTTTTTGGGAGTTCCACACCCGGCTCCTGCCCCGGGAGGGATCCGGCCTCTCCCGAGGGATTCGTCTTTCCAGGAACGGAGGAATTTCATCCTCTGAGCGCAGGGCTGGCAGGAGGGACAGGCGATGCTCGGAGCCAAGTGCTGCCATGGGGCACCCGGCCCTGCCCTGCACGTGGGGCCGTGCCAGCCCCACGGGGCGGCTCCGGTGCCTCCTCCCGGCTCCCGTTATCCAGCACCCACCGGGCCCAGGGGTCTCCCCAGCCCCGTCGCCCTCTCCCCGTGTTTTATCCACCCGGGAAAGCCGAGGCTCGTCCAGGGGCTGCCGGGGCTCTGCCGCCCCCGGCTCCCGGCCCTCGCGGCTCCCGAACCCTGCTCTGCCCCGGGCGCGGCCGTCGGTGCCCGGTGACACCGGGCAGGGGGGGCACACACGGACGATTCCCGGGATGGGGCACGAGAGGCTTCGCCCCGCAGCGCAAGCACGAACCGGGACCGGTACCGAGCGCCCCCACGGACCGGGGAAAGATGGGAGGAACCGGGGGAACCCGGAGGAACTGGGAGGTACCGGGAGGTACCGGGGGAAGCGGCCCTTACCTGCAGCCTGCCTCGGGGAGAGCGGCGCCGGGACCGGGGATTCTCCGGTGCTCCCGGCGGGACGGGCGGGGCGGGGCTGGGGGAACCGGGGGAACCCGGAGGAACTGGGAGGTACCGGGAGGTACCGGGGGAAGCGGCCCTTACCTGCAGCCTGCCTCGGGGAGAGCGGCGCCGGGACCGGGGATTCTCCGGTGCTCCCGGCGGGACGGGCGGGGCGGGGCTGGGGGGGCGGGGCCAGCCGAGGGTCCCGCTCCTGCCCGCCGGGCCCCGCGGGCGCTACCGGAGCCCGGTGACGATGTCCGGTGTTCGGACCTCGATGCCCAGTGCCAGTCCCGGTGTCCGATGTTCGTTTCCCGGTGTCCAATGTCCGGTGCCCCGTTCCCTGTGTCCGGTGCCCGGTTCCCAGTGTCTGTTTCCCGATTCCCGGTGCCGGTTCCCGGTGTCCGATTCTCGGTGTCCGGTTCCCAGTGTCCGGTTCCCAGTGTCCGGTTCCCGGTGCTGGCTCCCGATTCTTAATGTGCGGTTCCGGGTGCCGGTTCCCGGTGCCGGTTCCCGGCTCTCAATGTCCGGTTCCTGGTGCCAGTTCCCGGTTCCCGACTCTCAGTGTCCGGTTCCCGGTGTCCGATTCTCGGTGCCTGGTGCCCAGTGTCCGGTTCCCGGTGCCGGCTCCCGGCTCTCGGTGCCGGTTCCCGGTTCCCGGTGCCTGTTCCCTGTTCCCGGTGCCGGTTCCCGGCTCTCAGTGTGGGGGTCCCTGCTCTCGGTGTCGGGTTCCCTGTGCCTGTTCCCGGTTCCCGGTGGGTCGGGGTCTCCCCCCGCTCTCTCCGCCGGGTCCCGCGCGGGGCCGGGAGCGGCGGGGGCGGGGCAGGGGGCGTGTCCCACAGGCGTCTCTTGGGTCCCCAGAATCCCGAGGGGGACACGCGGGGTGACGGAGACACGAGGGGTGACAGGACACGCTGTGTGACAGGGACACGCAGCAGGGACGGGGACACACAGGGGGGACAGGGACACGCGGGGGTGACAGGGACGCGCGGGGAGACGGGGACACACGGGTGCGAGAGGGACACGCTGTGTGACAGGGACACGAGGGGATGACGAGGACACGCGGGGTGACAGAGACACGCGGGGTGACGGGGACACGCGGGGGTGACGGGGACACCGGTGGGCGGCGGGGACACGCGGGTGAGAGCATCACGCGTGAGCCGGAGCCGAGGAGGGCGCTGTTTGAGCTGGGGGAAGGGGGGCTCCCCCTCCTCCGCGGCCCCACGGGGGCTGGGACACCCGTGGGAAGCGGGGGAGGCGCGGGGGCTGTTTAGGGGGGGTGTTGACCCCGGGGGTCGTGGCTGTCAGTCCATCCCGGTGCCGGGGATCCCCCGACATCCCGAAGATTCGGAGCGGCCCAGCATCGGGAATGTCGGGGCATCCTTCCTCTTCCTCCTCGCGGCTCAGTGGGTGCGAGCCGCGGCACGGGATCCTAATTCCCAAAGGTGGCATTAAACAGATTAAAGGTGGGATTTAGAGCGGATTAAAGCCTGGATTAACGGGAGCCTTCACTTGAGTCTTGGTCTCACGCAGCGGCTGGGAAGCGAACCCCGGATCCCCGCCAGCCCCCCCGGCCCTGCGACACCCCCGGGGCATCGCCCCCACTCCCAGCGCCCCCGAGGATTTGCTCTGGTCCCAGGTGGTGCCGGAACAGCCAGAGCAGCTGTTGCGGCACTTCCGAACACTTGTGGCACCAGCCTAGCACAGAAATCACCCTCCGGGCTCCTCTGGTGGGCACCAGGAGCCTGGTCCTGTGTCCCTGTCACTGCCCTGTCCTGCAACCTCCCCGCTGTTCTGCCACACGTCCCCATTGCTGATCTGTGCCAGCACCATTTCCCCACCCCGTGTCCCCATTGCTGCCCCATCCCGTGTCCCCATTGCTGCCCCACCCCGTGTCCCTGTCACTGCCCCGTCCCGTGTCCCTGTCACTGCCCTGTCCCGCACCCCCGCGCTGTCCCATCCCGCACTCCCACCGCAGGGACACCCCGCAGTTTGTCACCTCGCTCAGGCTGTTGCTGAAGGTGTTTTGGGGGTGACGGGACGGGACGGGCTGTGGGGAGCACCCCCACGCGCTCCGGTGTGCCCAACCCGCAGATCCCACCATTCCCATCTCGGGAAGAGTCTCGGGAATGTCCGAACCTCACTCCAGCCCCGGAGCAGCGGCTGGGGGATGCTGGGCTGGGGTCACACGGGGGGACCCCCACAAATCCGTGTCCCTGCCCCGAGGGCGCTGCCGGCAGCAGCCGCTGCGGATCCGCGGGGATGGGAGCTGGCGCCGCATGAAAACAGGGAATAAAAAGGAGAGGCAGCAGGAGCTGGGCCAGCTCCGAGCGGCCTCTCCCCCCGTCCCTCCTCTCCTTCCAGGGAAATGAAACGGGGCTTTGCCGCTGCTCCCCTGCCCGCCGGGCATCGCCCGTCCTCGGCGGGCGGCACGGCTCGTTCCCCTCCCCGTCCCACCCAGACGCCCCCAGAGCTCCAGGAGCTCCGGTCCCGGCTGCTCCCCCCCGGCCGGGTGCGGGGGCTCGGCTGCGGGCAGGGGGGAGCACCCGCAGGGAGGCAGAGCCTGAATTATTCAGGAGAGCTCGGCGAGAGAAAGAGGATCCGCGGAGGGCACGGAGCCGCTCTGTGTCCCCCCCTAGCCCCGGTGTCACTGTGCCAGGACACCTCAGGGCCCATCAGCCTCCAGAGCGGGCTCCAGGAGCACCCAGCGCCTCGTCTGGCTGTGCCAGGGGACAGGATGGGGACAGGGTGTCCCCAGCACCCACCTGCGCCCGTGGTGGCACACGCTAGACCGCGGCAGCTCCTGCCGCAGGGGGTGGTGGCACTGCCCATAAAGCCACCATTGTCACCGGGGCACGTGCGGGGTTGGGGACCCCCCGTGCGGGGTGCTGGGTCCCGCAAGCCCTTCCCTCTGCAGCACTTGGCATTCCCGCTGCTCCCTGCCCGCGCCGCGCAGCTGCGCCCGGCCACAATGGCCCCTTCTTGCCGCTCCCCCGGCCCCTTCCCCGCGGCCGAGCCACCCCGCTGGCAGCCGAGGCGGAAAAAATCATCCCAGTTAAAAAAAAAATAAATAAATCCATCCTGGCAGGAAGCAGCTCCGGAGGGGAGCCGCGAGCAGGGCACGCTCTCCTGACCGGTTATCCCGGGGATGCGCCGGGAATTTTGGCTGGCGGTGGATGGAAGGAAAGGGACGCTGAGGTGTCAGTTTGGGGTGGATGGAAGGAAAGGGGCACTGGAAGTGTCAGTTTGGGGTGGATGGAAGGAAAGGGATGCTGACGTCTCAGTTAGGGGTGCTGGCCGGACCCAAAGGTCGCTGGTGAGACCCTGGCACTGTCCTCGAGCCGTGGGGACAGGCTGTGGCTCCTGATTCCCGGCGTTGTGCCCGAACCGTGCTGCTGCCCTCCCCCAGGGCACGGGGCTCTCCTGTCCCCAGTGCCACATTCCTGAGCACAGCAGTCCCTGCACTCCCACCCTCCCCGCTGCACATCTGGCCCGGTGTCACAGCTGGATCGGGCTCTTCTCTCGGTGCGGGGAGCGCCGAGCCTCGTTAGTTAATTAAAGCCCGATGGAATTAAAGCCCAGGCAGTGCCGATCCTCCAGAGGCTGCGGGCGCTGCATCCCCCGGGAAGGGCTGAGGAGGATGCGCCGGGGGAGACCCTGGCGAGGAGGTTTCTGAGATTTCCCTCCCTGGGAGGACACGAACGTCCATCCCTGTCGTGGGGACGCTGCTGTGTGGCCCTCCTGAGTGTGACCCACTTACCCAGGCTCCGCTGAGCCCTGGCTGCTTCATTTGGGGCTGGGGGCTGCTGAGAGGGACCCGGGCATCAGAGCCCCGGGCGGCTGCGGCTGCTCGGCCGGGACAAAAGCGAAAGTAGGTTAAGCACAAAGTGCTGCGGCTCGGAGCCCGCAGGGGGGGCCGGGGCAGGCGCCCACCGCTGCAATTAGCTAATTGCTCCTGCCACTGCTCCCTGCTTCACTCTCCATCTGATAGAACTGCCCTGGGGGACACCGCGCCCCCCGCCCGCCCCCGTGCTCTGCTCAGCGCTGGGGGGGTGCAGGATGGAGGGAAGGGGAGCCCCCCCAAAGCTGCTGTTCCCAGCCCCGCTGGATGTGACATCCCTGGTGTCACCTGCTGGGGACAGTGGGGACGATGACCTTAACACCAGGGATGGGTCTGGCTTCCCCCCACATTTTGGGGGTGTCCTGCTGCACCCCAAGGCTTCAGGATCCCTCGTGGCCAAATTCCATCCAAGCTGTTGAACCTGGGGCAAGTGTGGGAGGCTGTGACAGCACCAGGAGTCTGAGTGACAGATGACATCATCAGAGGGGGTCCTTGTGTCCCTTGTGGGACAGACAGACCCCCAGCCTGCCGGGTGACAGCAGCACGGATGGGCGAGGGGACAGACAGGATGCTGGTGGCACCACCAGGATGATCCATGGGGGGCAGAGAGAGGGGCCCGAGCAGGCTGGGCTGGGACTGCTGGACCTGGAGGAAGAGGAGCAGGAGGAAGAGCAGGAGCAGGAGGAAGAGCAGGAGCAGCAGCAGGAGCAGGAGCAGGAGCAGGACGGTGGCCTCATGCAGAGATGTCCCCAGCTCATGGTCGCCGAGCCTGTCCTTGTGCTGGTGACATATTGACTGACAATTCTTAATCAAGTGGATTATTAATTAGCAGCAGAGCTGGCTGGTTAATCCTCGGCAGGGCTGGGAGCTGGAGGTTTGTGCTGACACAGCCGGGTGTGGTGACAGTGCCACCGTGCTGGGTACCCACCATGCCAGGGCACCCAGGCTGGCCCAGGGAAGGGATGGATGCCACCCCCCAGGGCCCGGCTGGTGGCTTCACCCCTGTGCACTCTGCTGCCCCAAATCCTGCAAGGTTTTACCCCAGAACTGGTGGCTGGCACCACAGGAATGGCCCTGGCACAGCAGGACGGCGGCTGGTGGGTGGGCATCCGTCTGTGCCACGTGGGGTGAGGCGACATGCGTGTCACTAGTGCCACACGTGTCCCCAGCCTTGCCGTGGAGGGCAGGGGGACCAGCCCTGCAGGGTCCATCCCTGTCCCTGCCCGCGGGACAGCAGCCCAGGCCACGCGTGTGGCCTTGTCCCCACCAGTGTGGGGGTCCCAGTGGCCCTGCCGGCTGGGGACAGGGGAGGGGGCTGGGGACAGGGTGGGGGGCTGGGGGGGCTGCTCCTCCAGCCCCATCTGAGCCGGCTCCAGAGCCGTTGTGGCCGCGGCTGCTGCCGGGCCCGGCTCCATCCCGCGTTTCCCCGCGTGTCTCATCCATCCATCCATCCATCCATCCATCATCCATCCATCCCCCCATCCCCGCATCCCCCCGCACTGCCAGCAGGGCCGGGGGCTGCTCTCGGAGCGCTCCGCTGCCCGTTTCGGTGCCCGTTTCGGTGCCCGTTTCGGTGCCCGTTTCGGTGCCCGTTTCACTCCGGCCCCAATCCCAGCCGGGTTCTCCTCCCCGCGGCTGTCGGCGGCGATTTCCCAGCCCTAATTAAAGCTCGGAGCGTGTGACGGCGGCTCCCTGGGGACGCTCCCCGAGATCAAGGCGATAAACCGACGCTGCCGGCGGAGTTACCGCGGCTCAGGGAAGCGGGGACGAGCCCGGAGCTGCGGCAGCGCGGGGCTCCGCGGGGGGAGGAGGAATCGGGGCTGCGGGGACGAGCCCGCAGGTGCCAGCCCTGCTCCGAGCCCGCCTGTGGCAGCGCGGTGGCACCAGACAGCCGGCTGTCCCCGGGCCTGGCACGCAGGGGAGGTTTTGGGGTGCCACAGCCCCCCGCCAGCGTGTCGCTGTCACC